TATGTGAAGTACAATTGGATATGCGAATGTGAAGCACTGTACTTCATAAACACAGAATATCATAAGCTAATGGAAGATTCCTATCATGATCATTATATTTGTGTCTTGTAGGCCTACGCGGCTGCCTGTCTCAGTACATGCAAAATGTACTATCCATGGTAAGAAACATTTTACATCAGGGAGTGGAAAAGACAAAAGATTGTGTTGATACAATTTGAAGACACAGAAATTCAGACAGATTTTAATATCGCTACCTGTCTTTTTGCAGCCACCTGTACATTGCACAAGCTTCTATGGACAAGAATTCCTAATTCGATGCTTTGCAGTTGAAGCGAAAAAAGTATTTGTAAGGGACAAGCCACATGTCAACATTGGAACAATTGGGCATGTGGATCATGGCAAGACCACATTAACAGCGGCCATCACCAAAAGTGAGAGTTGGGTATAGATGGGCACAGTTGTTAAAGGAGACCAAATAAGGGAAGGAGAGTAGCTAGCTTGGCTTTCCAGCCAGCTCCCTTTTTTATTTGCTAGAGGGCCACTGACTCAACCACCAGTAAAGTATTGGAGCAGTTGATAGCTGAATCCAGAGCTAGAAGTAGAGAGAGGATGCTCCAAATTTAAAACTTGACATTAAAAAATTGCCAGAGCTTAGCCTTGTGTGTTGGGTTGTTCTGCCTGTTTTCTATCATCAGGATCCCAGATCTAGAATCTGATTCAGCCTTTCTGTTTGGAATAAAAATGTTAGCCTTCACAAATAATTAGTCTTGATTGATGGCTATCTCACAATCCATTCGAAGGTGTTATACTGTTTAGACAGAGGGTTTCAGATCAGCTTCAAACATAATATTGTGTCGCTCACATGGTAGACTTAATGCTTTCTCCTTACTTGAGACTCAGGTAAAGAATTAAACACCATGTGCTCCTCCCCCACACTCATGAACTGCAGGAAAGACTTTGGTGGAGTTTTTTCTCTGTAACATTTCTTATAAATGCATAAGGAGAAGCAGGCTGAGATGTATAAAAGTTTTCTGCCAAAGCCTTTTTTGCTAATTCAAGAGCACAGAAAAGAAATAAAAGAGCCTTTGAGTATTTTTAGCTGACTTGCTCCCTCAAGCCAAGGAATAGTGCCAGCCCTTCAAATCTTTCATTTAAATACAGCTGTGATCCCATGTTCACATCTTTTTCTTCCAGTTCTTTCAGAGACTGGGACTGCCCAATACAGGAAATATGAAGACATTGATAATGCACCTGAAGAGAAGGCCCGGGGGATAACAATTAATGCCTCCCATGTAGAATATTCAACAGCCAACCGCCATTATGCCCACACAGATTGTCCTGGACATGCTGATTACATCAAGGTAGGCCTGGGGAACTATGATTCCAAGAAATCTCTTAAGAAGTCCAGTATTCCTATTTTAGAATCCCTGGCAGAAGGTATTTGGTGATTGTACTTGCAAGTTATATTTAAATAAATGCATGATTTAAGAAAGAATTAAAAACAAGGATCTTAAATAAATAAATGAAATCTTTCCAGTTTGAGATAGGTATTTTTGTCCAACCACAGTAACATGAAAGGATGTTTTTCTAAGCCTTGTGCTGGAAACATACTGACACATTTCCCATTCTCTTCTCTGTAGAACATGATCATTGGGACAGCACCATTAGATGGCTGTATCTTGGTGGTGGCTGCAACAGATGGACAAATGCCACAGACTAGAGAGCACCTTCTGCTTGCTAAACAGGTTTGGTTGTGATCTAAAAGACACGGCTAGCGATTATCTGATATGTATTGCTCAGATTGAGGGATGCTTTAAGCAAGGGAAGAAGTAGAGATCTGATTCTCATCCTTTTTTTTCTCACACTATTCTAGATTGGAGTGAAACATGTGGTTGTGTACATCAACAAAGCTGATGCAGTTGATGATAAAGAAATGTTGGAATTAGTGGAGCTGGAGATACGGGAGCTACTCACGGAGTTGGGCTATGATGGGGAATCAACACCTGTTATTATAGGCTCTGCTCTATGTGCTTTAGAGGTCAGTGATATGTTGCTCGAACTCTGCTTTTAATTTGTCCTTTTATTAAGATGTTGTATTACTTTCTTCCCATGACTCTTTGCAGAACCAAAATCCAGAACTGGGGTTGAACTCTGTCATAAAGCTTCTGGATGTAGTGGATACATACATCCCTGTGCCAAAACGTGACCTTGATCAACCTTTTCTGCTTCCCATAGAGCGTACTTACTCCATTCCAGGTACCAAACCTCAAATTTGCCACCCTTTACGTTATATCCTACATATCCAAAGGTGGGGATTCATTAACAGTAGTAGACAACTATTTTGTATTTCATTACCTGAACTGGCTTTAACTGATTTGTTCTAGGTCGGGGCACTGTTGTGGCAGGTACCCTTGAACGTGGCATTCTCAAGAAAGGGGAAGAATGTGAATTTGTGGGTTACAAAACACATTTACGCTCTGTTGTGATTGGTAAGTAGAATCCTCCCCCTTTGGCAAGAGTCTGGTCTTCAGTATTTTTTAGCTTAGTTTTCCTCATTATATCACTGGGCAGTTGTTTTTGAACAATCATGGCCTGAAAACATACTGAGACAAACCTTTAAGTATAGTCTTGTGGGACTGAGGTGGCTGAATAAAGTTTTCAGAAAAAAGTGTGTAATTGGCTTTAGGTGTCGAGATGTTCCACAAACAGTTGGACCAGGCACATGCTGGAGACAATTTGGGTGCTTTGGTCCGGTCTGTGAAGCGAGAAGATATACGACGAGGACTAGTCATGTGTAAGCCTGGCTCCATCCAGCCACATCAGAAGATTGAGGCTCAGGTAAGCTAGGGAAATGGACGTGGGAAGGCAGAGTACTAGGATGCATTTTATAGAGGACTGGGACATAGAGATGTCCATAACACTCCAGAGCACACATTGACATAATTTTTAGGGAATGGCTAGAGAGTAGCCCCACCCACCTGCCACGTTTGAGACAAGGCAAATATATTGCTTTGCTTTCTTAGGTTTATATCCTGACCAAGGAGGAAGGTGGCCGTCAAGCATCTTTTGTGTCTAGGTTCATGCCAGTTATGTTCTCACTGACCTGGAATATGACTTGCCGCATAGAATTACCCGAGGGGAAGGTCTGTATCTTTTTTCCACTAATTTCTTGTCCATGTGCACTGCTGGGAAGCTTTATCCCTAGTGGGGTTTATAATAGGTGCTCTTTCAGTATTTCTGGATTGCCACATGTCTTGCCGTTGTGGACAAATACAATTCTGAAGTGTAGGTTGACATCCCTTCAGACCTCTCCTCTTCTTTGCTGTAGGAAATGGTGATGCCAGGTGAGAATGTCTCCCTGAAGCTCATATTGCAATACCCCATGGTCTTGGAAGAAGGACAACGGTTCACGCTGCGGGATGGATCTCGAACCATGGGCACTGGAGTGGTCACAAAGATACTGCAACTAGCCCCAGGGGAGGAATGCTGGGATAACTAAATTATGCCAGCTGGAATTGAACATGAATACTTTCTCCTATAAAGTAAATTCTGGACTACTTCCTAGAAAAAATTGCATCCACTTCTGTGCAACTGACGGACGTGACAGTCTTGGTTCAAAGAAGAGGGTTCCACCAAGGGGTGGGGGCAAGACTGAAAGTTGTTTAAATAAAATACTTAAAAGTGAGCATGAACTTTTTTTCCCCCTCCAAAATCATCCCTATTCAGGTTAATGCAAAAGTGTGTGCTGATGAAGCTCCAAAATAATGTCTGTGCATCAGAGCACATAACACTACTATGCAATCTTAATCCATTACAAATAAGCACCACATAGAAGCATATTTCCACTAGAAGAGAATATATGTAGCTCAGGGTTGAACTGTGGAGTTTTTGGTGCTCTCTGAGCTTGGTTATTTAGTTGCAGACATTTCATTACCCAACTAGGTAACCATTATTTTAGAGCACCAAGAATTCCACAGAAGTATATATGTCATGTTATTGTGCTACTATATATATATATATATATATAAGAAAGGAAGCATGAACATGAAATCAAGCCTCTTCAGAGTACTGGAAATAGAAGAAAGAAATATCTGCACCCACTGTGTAAAAAACAAAAGGTGGAGATGGGAATTAATGCTATTGTTTTGGTGGTAAAGAAGAAATATGATTTGGAAACTAACTCCCTCACAAAAATGATGCACAAAATTCAAAGGCCAAATTATACATAGGTTTCTAAAGTGCTCATTGGAAGGAGCTATGCAAGGCAGTGAAATGCATCATTTTTTATCTGTTCTCCAGCAGTATTTTAAGATTTAACTATACATTGACATAAAGGTGGTTTTTTTTAAGTGATGTTAAATACTATCAACCATACACAGCCTTATTTTGCAACTAATTACATGAATCACTAACAACATTTTGATAAAATTTAATGTACAAGTTTTAGCCTGATTATGCATTGCCAACCTGTTTCACAAATATGACCAGCAGAACTGTAATAGTTGAGAAGGAACTAGTAATATATTTAATTCTAAAGTATCTGTTTTCTTCTATATTTAGTGTTTTTTCCTGTTAAAAAAGGAGGGGAAGGATTTTTCCTTTACTCATTGCTCTAGCCCAGTGTTTCTCAACCTTGGCAACTTTAAGATCTGTGGACTTCAACTCCCAGAATTCTGGGA